GACTGCAGGATTTTTGGGCTTGTGTAATATCTATATGCATGGGTCACTGATGTGATATTGAATAGCTCAAATTTAGCTCCAATGATGCAATTCCACATCAAGGAGAGAGACATGCAACACGCACGAGCAAGTGCAAAGACGATGTGCACATACGCGGATGCAGACCCATGCACGCGTTATGTGCACGGGAAAAAGTAAATTCCTTCTCCCACAAGGATTCCTGCAGGTCCCATCCCAAACAGGCAAGCAAGTTCAAAATCCTTTTGTTTCCTAAATGGGATCGGTTTAAACGGGAAAGTGAGTTCTAGTTTCTTAAACTGGAACATTCAGAAGAGGAAAGTAACTTTATCCCTAACTACTTTTCTAAATGGGATTATTCCAAGGAATGGATTAAATTTATGCAAATGAAGTTTAAGGCCCAAGTGAGATTAATGAGTTTGAAGAATTGCAAGGAAGTGTAAGTGTTAGCCCAACCTGAGAGAGGACCAAACCTTAGTCTAAGTCAAGGAAGCACCAAGGGGAAAAAACCCGAGCCAAGCCGTGGGCTTGGAAGCCCATTGGGTGCACACATGAAGGTCCATATGCGCGTGGTGAGCAGCTCGCAACCCAGCCATCCCGTCCGCGCACATACCAAGCACGCGCAGCCCGTGTGCATGTGCGGAGATGCCCAAGATGGAACCATGTGAGCGAGAGGAGATGTCACGTGCCACCAGCTCGCAACCCATGCGCTAGCAGTCTGTGGTCCACACACCCGCGCACCCACATCCTGAGACCCACACGCCCACATCCTGCAACCCACGCGCCATTGCTAGTTACCCACGCAGGCAGCTTCAAATTGAGTCCTTTTTGGACTTTCTTCTCTTATTTTTCAAGTCTCCAAGGATTCTAAGTTTTTCGCAAATTATCCTATGTGATTATTATGTTAAATTGGAGGAGGATTTCAACTCAAATTGGAAATCCAAGGAAGATCAAGCTATTTGAAGATTTGGCCAAGGAGAGAATATTCTTTTATGATTTAATTAGATTATTTTAATTATTTTAGATATTTTAATTATCTTAGGATAAGACTCCATTATTTTAATATTTTTGTATTTGTTTTATAATTAGATTAAGTTTAAGAGTTTGGATAAAAATTCTAAATCTTATTCTAGAATAGAATTAGAAAATAAATGTCGATATAAAGGCTTAAGTCCTTAGTTAGTAAGCATACATTTGAGAATTAATAAAATTAAGATTTGTGCTTTCTTCAGGAATTAGCTTTGATTAATTTTCTTAACATCTTCAAGTTCTTTGAAATTAAGGAGCTTTCTGAAGTCTTGTTAAGTTGAGAAGTTGAGATTGACTTATCGTATAAGCCGTGTTGTCTTTCTTTTCCTCATTTTAATTTTTCTAATTCTTATTTTTGCATTCTATATAGTTGGGTGTAGATTCAAGTAGGCAGGGGTTTATTTAGGCGGTTAAGTTTTTGATTGCATGTTTAGTTGAAGTTTCGACAGTCAAAACGATCTTGTTCATATTCTCCCGCGTCATCTAATAATAGAGTGCAGTGCGACCCACATCAATTAGTCATGTACAACATAATGTTGTGTAATACCAATAGTGCTGAGTTGTATGCATCCAAATTCTTCTTATGGTTGATGGCGCTTCATTTTATTATACTAAATGGTATTGTTTTCTGTCTTCTGAACAAAACGATGCTATTGAATGCAGTCTTCTTCTAGCTGTGCACTTAAAAACTTTTTCAAACGCCAAAGAAGTTTTTGGATGTCATTTTGTTTCTTAATAAAAATTTTAGGCTTATGTTCAAAAACTATTTAGGGTGTAATAAAAGGAGATATAAAATAAAAAATTCAACTAAGGACAAATTGGTAAAAGCGTAGAGTTAGTTAGGATTGGGGTTGACAAACCCTAACTAGCTCATTAGTTCATCCTGCAACCGGCACCCTGGTCATCATCATCTCATCCTGTGGTCGATGCCAAGCTCACCGCGTGATTCCGGCAAGCATGATTCCAGCCACTAAGGACATTTTCTTTACTGCTTTTAGACCTATAAAATGCTCTTTTTCATTGTTCTGTAATCATCAAATTAGAATTAATAAAATTTACCAATATCTTTATGTTCAATCTAATGTTGGGGTTGTTACAAAAACTTGGTCTAAAGGGAAGACCGCGATCGCTAAACCGGAGAATCCCAAAATAATCACCGCAAAGGAGGTCGACCTGAAACTCTTTGCGTTTATAGATGAAATGAATGAATTCTGCCAAGAAATGCATCGACAACTTAACTTGATCCTAAACCTGCTCAATGACAGCTTTGCTGATTGGGCAGAAGCAAGCTCGACGCATTAACGACCAAGACTCTCGAAAACTGAGACCTCCTACCTCCCCAGTGTGGTGCGACCTCAGAGCCAAGAAAACAAGGCTTAGGGTATTTTATACCCGGTTCAGCCCCATTAAACCGAACCCAACCAGATGAAGAAACGGATCTGGATGAACTGGTCCAAATTGGTCCGACCCAAACCAGTCCAACACTGACCCAAACTAGGCTTACCAGAAATTGCCCAATAGAGCCCATAGATCGAATCGAAACGCCCACGATCGTGAACCGACCCGTTCTGATCTATAATTTCTCACTTCCTAAAATGAAAATTCCTCTTTTTAAAGAGGTAAATCTCTATAGGTGGATTCGAAAATGTAAAAAATATTTTGTAATTCACAACACTCTTGACGAGTAAGAGATGGAGATTGCGTTGCTATATTTAAGAGAAAGTCACCGATATATGGTACCACGGGTGGCTAGCCAAAGTTAATACCCTGAATTGGGAATATTTTGTGGAAGAATTCTGTTGGCAACTCAGATGACCTTCACGGAAAGATTTCATAGAGGAGTTCATCAAACTATACCAAACATGTACTGTTCTTAAGTATGTCGAATAATTTGAATATTTATGTTCTCTCATAAATACAGATAACCCTACACTTTCATAGAGGTTTTACAAATCCACCTTTACCAGTAGTGTTAGATTGCAGCTACAACCCACCATAAGACTCAAGCTGCAAACGCTGAATTAAGTATTTGAGCAGACCTTACTGCAGAAACAATCAGTAATAGAGCTATCTCTGAATCCCTATCTTTCCAGCAATGATGCTTCATTATTAGCAAAAGATTGATATAATAATAGACCCCCCAGGAGCAAAAGAAAGGGAGTAGAACCTAGAAGATCAGCGACCTGTTACAAATATAGAGATAAGTATTTCCCAGGACATCATTGTGTAAATAAAACAGTAATGATCATGAAGAAATTGTTATGGAAGAAATTCTCGAAGAAAAAATTTCTACAATTCAACCTTGCGGACAAGATATCTGATACTCAAGGGGAAGGCATTGTTAGGAAACTATTTAGGGTGTAATAAAAAGTGAGTAAAATAAGAAATTTACGAAAGGGCAAAATGTTAAAAGCATAGGGCCAGATAGGGTTAGGGTTGACAAACCCTAACCAGCTCATTAGTTCATCCTGCAGCTAGCGGCTTGGTCATCATCATCTCATCTCGCGGTCAATGCCAAGCTCATCGTGTGATTGCGGCAAGCATGATTCCAGCCACTGAGGACGTTTTCTTTATTGCTTTTAGGCCTATAAAAAGCCCTTTTTCGTTATTCTGTAATCATCGAATCAGAATCAATAAAATTTACCTCTATCTTTATCTTCAATATTCTTCTTCGTCTTCTCTACTTCTTCTTCTTTATTATGTCACATATCATAGCCATGTCCAAGGCTTTTGATAGTTTAGTTGCATCTTAGGTTATGCTTCGCACTTGGTTGGCAAGGTTGTACATTGCAATGACCAAGCATTTTACTTGGCCAAAGGAGGAAGGGGTTGAGTTGGCAAGTAGTTTAAGTAAACTTAAAAGCACAAGGGCAGAAATCTTCACTTAAAAATAGAGACTAACAGTGATAATCCACTAGAAAGTAACTGAGTAGAGAATTCTGGTTGCATGCATATGTAAACTGTTGTAAGTCATTCAGCTATCTGATATTGCTCTAATACCTGTTGAAAGGGATTGATGTTTCTTTCTCTTAGTTGTCTCAACCCGTTGGTAATAAGTAGCAGACACTGTGATATTTAATTCTGCATCTATGCCAAGATATAGGGGGCCTAACAAGGCATAGATGAGTGAAATGCCAATTTACTCTTTAACAAGATTGCCAGCTAAAGTCTATCTATTCTACCTAAGATATTTTGTATTTATTCCACTGTGAACAGTTTTCTATTTAGGATTCTATTTACTATTGTTTATATTGTTTTGTTAAGCTGATCTAACGCATATACATTCTTTTGAAAGCCGAGAAGAGGTTGCTTCGAGATACGGGAGGAAGGTGGCAAGACATTCATCAGTCTCTTGGTAAAAGTTACTTATATTTCTTGTAAAAAGAGCATAAATTGCTTCAGTTATTGTCACTGAAATTAAATTTGTTGAAATTCTTCTTCCAATATCCAGCAATTACAGTGCACTTTACACTTGGAAATTAGAAATAACCAAAAAGTTTATTCCCTGCTTTCAAGCAACCAAAGAAATCTTGGTTATTTCCTAGGATCAAGTGACCACGGGAAAGAAGGAAACTTACTTGCATTATAACAAGTTACGGTCTGGCATAATCAAACATATAGTTGCTTTTCATAATTATTTTATAGGACCTTTTTCAGGTTTAGAAAACACGAATCCTGATTTGATTATCTAGTATTGGAGACTAAACTGAATTACTTTGGTGGACTGGAGTACACAAATTTCCTTTGTATTGCTTTTGTAGTTGTCTTGATTTGTAAAGCCTCAGAGACCTTTTGAAATCATTTGATGACCAAATTTCTTAGACATATTACAAATTGAAAATGTTAGATATTCTATTAAATTGCTACTCAAAAGATTTGCTTGTCATATTGGCTTCAGTTGATGTTCAAATTTCTTAGACATATTACAAATTGAAAATGTTAGATATTCTATTAAATTACTACTCAAAAGATTTGGTTGTCATATTGGCTTCAGTTGATGTTCAAATTTCTTAGGCATATTGCAAATTGAAAATGTTAGATATTCTATTAAATTACTAGTCAAAAGATTTGGTTTTCATATTGGCTCTGGTCTAATTCGTGTCTTCTTACAGAATATGAAGAGACCATTTGAGCCAATGAAGAAACTTGACATGGAGAAAGTTGTCTCTGACATTATTAAGGAGATCAAATGATTAAGGCAATCTTTGCATGTGTATTCTTGTTCAATCATGGGAAGTTTTTTGTGTACTGTCCAAATTTAACCAAGTTAGTCAGGCTTTTGTGGTAGAAATTCGGGCTGCTAGGACAGATTCCTGTAATTGGTTACTTTTAGTGCATTATTTCTTTATTTTTCTAATCTCTGGTAGGACTGATTACTGTTGTAGGTTTCTTATGGTTTATATTTCTGAAATTTTTCTGATATGGCCAAGATGAACTTCAATAGTTCGTGAGTTCATAGAAGATTTTGCGTACTGCCATGGCAGTGCTTGTTTTTTCTCTTAAAACAAACTGGCTAGCCCTAGTTAGTTTCTGAGTTCATTTTGGTAGATGTTCAAGTTACTCATCATTCTGTTGGAGCCGCTAATGGTTGGAATTTTGAGTAAAATGCAGTGGACATTGTGGTTTATTAAATATTTTATATGCCACAGTTTTTTTTGGCAATTGAAAAACAACTTGAAATATGAAGCGGCATTCCTTTTGTTATTTCTTCATTTAGATTGAATGCATTCTCAGGTTCTATGCGCTAATTATCGGGGAGAAATTTGGTTTGAATAATGTTGGGATTTTCTAAAGTCTCTTGCATCATGATTGAGAACTCTTTGCATGCTGTATAACGCTTGTTACCGAGGAGAATTTGGGTTTCTCATTGGAATATATACTCCAGGGTGATAACTATTGATATGATTTGCCCAATTCTATTATAAGGTGATTAAATTTGGGTTATGTCTGGTACATCAGGTTTATTATAATGTTAGTAAGGTAGAAGGAAAACTTTTGTACTTACCTCTTTTAATATCATTTTAAGTTTAATTGTTAACTTTTTTATTTCAAATATAGTTGTTGCTACTATGTATTATCTAGGAAATTGGCAAGTGTTGAACTTCATAGGGATTTTATCTATCATTTAGGAAGATGATAAGTGATCAACATTATTTATAGATATTGTATCTATTATCTAGGATTATAATAAATAAGAATTTGTGTTGGCATTTTTGTTGTAATTTGTTTATTTAAAGGTTGTCCAGTCGGTTAAAAAATTTAGATTAGAAACTTGGGTTAATATTTATTTTATCTTCTCTTCTCTCTTTAATTTATTATTATTATTTTTTCTTCTTAAGTTTTAATATCGGTATCAAAACATTTTTTTAAAAGTAAAAAAATAATAGTTTTATACAGTAAACAATAAATGACTTGGTGAAAATTTTGTACAATCAGCAATTCCATGGTTTGATGGTTATCATAACTATTGGAGTATACTGATAGAAAAGTTCAAAGAGTATTGGACTGTGGTTATTTTTGTATTAGTAGAAACAATAGATGCTATGTTGACGAACGTTTAGAAAACAAACCTAAAAACACAGAAGTTATACGATCTTAAAGTAAAAAATTATCATTTCCTGACTATTAATTGCTCAATTTTATAAACTATTCTTTGCAAAAATATTTCAAAGCAAATATGGGACTCTATGAAGAGAAAGTATTAGGGAATAACAAAAGCAAAATGAGCAGAGCTAGAATATCAAACTAACTCTTTGTACTGATTTTGAAATTTTATATATGAAGTCAAGAGTTCAATTCCATATTATTTCTCAAGAATCGTGATAATTATAAATAAGATGTAGATTTATAGTAAAAAATTAGATGATGTTACTATTGTTGAAAATATTTTTCATTCTATGTTAACACAATTTAATTATGTGTCTGTTCAATTAAAGAATTTAAAGACACCAATGAACTTTCGATTGATGAATTATAGAGTTTTTTTAGTAATTCACGATTAGAAAATGAAATGATAAACAAAAAGGAGCAGACTCTACATGTCTTGTATGATAATTAGTCTATAACATCAAAAAGAGATAGTCAAGGAAACAAAATGTGTAGTTTAGTGATAATGGTAAAAATTCGCATTAGAATATGAAGATAATTAATATTCTCATGCTTAGGAAGAAGATATCATAACGATAATCATTTAGCTCATACAAAGCCAAAGTTAACAAAAAAATCTAAAATTGAATGCTGCAAATATCACAGATATGTCCATTATAAATTAGAATATCGAACTAACTAAAATAAAGATTGTGGAAAAAGACAAATTTTGTATAAAGAAAAAAAGAAGAAATCTCTTTGTTACTGACTTGCTAAATAAAGAAACGGGTAAAAGATGAAACTCACAAGAATTTGTGATATTTAGGTACTGGATACAACAATCATATTTGTGGAAATAAATTAGCATTCTCCACTTTAGATGGCTCATATCACGATTCAGTAAAGTTTAGAGACAACTATAAAGTCTCAATCATGAAAAAATGACAAATAATAATTTGAACAAAAAAGAATGTTACTCAAACAATTTTTAATGTTCTTTGTGTTCTAGATTTGAATATTAATCTTCAAATAACTACAAGGGGTATGAGATTCTCATTAAAAATGGAGTATGTCGGATTCAAGATGATAATTTGAGACTAATTGCTCAAGTTAAAATGACTGCTAAAATGATGTTTCTTCTCTATCTTAATAACATATAGTAATTATGTTTCATATTAAAGTAAGAAGATGAAGCTTGATTGTGGCATTTTCGTTATGGGCATCTTAATTTTGGTGGATTAAGGAATTGACAATAAAAGAATATGGTAACAAGTCTTCTTCAAATTTCACCTCCCTCATAAATATGTGAAGAGTGTGTTGTTAGCAAACAACATCGTAACTCATTTTCATAAGGAAAATAATGGAAAGCAAAAAAATCACTAAAACTTGTTCATTTGACATTTACAGACCCATAACACCATCTTTAAATGGAGGTAAAAGATATATAATTATTTGTGTTGATGATTATACTTGAAAAATCTTAGTATATTTCTTACAGGAGAAATTTGAAGTCTTTGAAGATTTTAGAAGCTTTAAAGCCGATGTTGAAAAAGAGATTGACAATTCAATAAAAGTTTTTCACTCAAATATTGGAGAAAAATATAACTCACAAAAATTTGTAAATTTTAGTGAATTTCATGGAATAAAAAAGCAACTTACAGTAATTACTTGCGCTAACAAAACAGAGTTTATGAAAGGAAAAAACACTATTATGAATATGGTGCGGAGTTTAGTGAAAAGCAAGGGAATCCTAAGAAGTTTTTAACCTAAAGTAGTCAACACGTGTATTCACATTTGATGGGTGTCAAATTTACTAAAAATAAATTTATAATTAACTAATAAAAAAATATTGTAGTCGTAGTAAGAATGGTCGAATTCATAAAGAATTAAAAATCAATTTTCTTTATTGACCAACGAATAAAAAGCAAATAATGTTTTCTAGAATTCAATACGCAAAATATAAAATAAATAATGAGCATAATAATATTAGACAAACTCTTGACTGCAAATAGACTAAAGCAATTATAAAAATGATTCCTAGTTAATGAAATAGCTAACTCTAGTAATGTAATTGATCATAGATGTAAGGATTCATTTTACCCAAAAGATGACAAATTAATTATAGTTATCAGAAACGTTCTAACAACCAATCTTTCTTTATTCCTAAACTAATCAGAAAAAGTTTGTTAGTTGGTGCTTCGCTGTCAAGCAGTCATTAGAATGTCCACATGATTTAACTTGTCAACGGCCTTGAAAGTTAAAAGAACCTGATTCAAGTTGCTGGATTCATTCGCGTGAACCAGTCAACTAGATCACTTACCGCTTCAATGAGACACTGATCGCCACTAGGTGTTGGAACCACTCAAACAATTACGGATTTGAGGGGTTCGACTAGCTCCTTGCTATTTTTCTTATGTTCAATGGGTCATATATTCAAACGGGTTCAAACCAACAAATATATATATAAATACAGGAAATAAATAAATACCAACTCTAAAATAAAACTCAAATTAATTCAAGTAGATCTCATAAATCATTGATAAAGTTTGCTAGATCTACCAATTAGGAGAAAAAAGTGAGTTAGCCACTTATGGTGAGCTTTTCAATACAAAAAACTTCTTGGAGAGTAAAGAGAAAAAGAAAGACGAAGAAGAAATCACAAAAGCAGCATAAGTTGTTGTGTGTCGAGTTGGGAAAAAGAGAGGTCCCCCTTTTTTACTCATCACAGCTCGCCTTTTATCCTTCAAAAGGGCTAGGGTTTCTCTCATCTCCCGATTTGCAATCTTCCCTTAACTTTTGACACATCTTTAGCTTTTCAGATTGATCTCCATGGTTTTATGTTCGCAAATTTAGGCCTGAATAGGATATGTTTTTAAATTTTAAACGTGTGTTTTTTTCCTTTTTAAATTGACTGTTGTACATGGCCCGTAGCCTTGTTTGAGGCTAAATTGTCTGGAGTATAACACAAGCCTTGCCCAAGGCTTGTTTATGTGCTAATGATCCACTTCATGAATTTTTCCTCTCTTCGTGCTATATTTTTCCATTTTGCCCTAATATCTTGCACTGCAACAAAACATAGAAGATAAGTTAGATTGGATGACGTACCGTCAAGTTCAACAACCCAAAAGTTGGTGATAATGATGTTGTTTTCAGGTATTATCAAACTCCCCCACACTTATCATGTGTTTGCCCTCAAGTACGACATAGTGCACTCCACGAATCCCCATTCCTTCACCTTCAACTCACTTACTTCTAATCATTTCATCACAACCTGTATGTTACATCTCAACTCTCAAGTTACTAAAATAACCATTGGCCATTAATTTCTAAATTTGAGTTTCATGGACCCACACCCATAAATAATCATTTTGACAACGTACGAACACGACATAGGAGAGTATTATAATTTTTCCTTATAAAAATAGGTCAAGAGGAACAACCAACAGATAGTAAAACAAGTACTGAACTTGTCTAGATATAAAGGTTTCATGCAATCGGTTCATAGAGAAAATATAAAACTTATATGTAACTTACTTGAACACTTATTGCTTGCTTGAAATGTCACCAACATTTTAATGCGAGAACAAACAATTATGATGAATGGCCCCAATTATTCAGTTAGTCATAGTTTCAAGTGGTTACTAATGTTATTCATAATGCTTAGAGATGTCACTAACCTTTGGACGCGAGTACAAATAATTCTGATGAATGATCCCGGTTACTCAGTTAGAGCTTATTTGGAGTGATTAGAGGAGTAGATTATTATGCATGCTCACTTTTTCTCTTTTAAAAAAAAAAATGAACTCCATAATTCTAAACATACAAATCCAAATAGGTTGTAGTAGGGTTCTTTTTTA